CTTTGAATTCGTCTCACAGAGCTCACCGATCAGCGTTCGCCAGAGTCACATCCCAGGCCGACCTAACCCGCCGCAGGAGAGCTCGCACACCGACGAGCCCGACGTCCTTCGACAGACGATCACCAAGCCAATCATCCACACCGTTGAGGAAGTCGTTCAGCCCATTCGCCGCATTTCCCAGCAGGTGAACCCGTAAGTGCTGTTTTTGCTTTTCCGTTTATCAAATTATGCCACTCACTATACTTAAATTCAACAAAATCTAGCGTCCAAGAGACCATCACCCAAACCTTTGCGAAGGAGCAGCAGAAACAGCAGCAGGCGGCGGCAGTGGTGGCCGTAGCTCAGCCGATTACCGTGGCCGCAGTTGCCGCCCAGCCAACTGAGACGATTGCAGTGGAAACGGTGGCCGCCGCTGAGCAGCCAATCATTGCCATTGAAGCTGCTGGTCAGGCACTCGGACTGGAAAATGCTGTTGCTGCTCCTCAAACTGTGCTGTTGGTGGAGGGCGGTGTAAGTGGAGGCGTTACTGGCAGCCTGCAGACTAGGACCCTTCCCATCAATGCCAGGATTACCCGATTCTAGGCAGTAGAAGACATTTCCCTAACAAAGAGAAGGAAACGCACTACAATCAAACCCTCCCTAATTGAAATCAAATTGTCTGCAATCACAATCACAATTACACACACACACACTCACTAACTACCGCATTGATACAGACCTGCACACTTNAAGGAAACGCACTACAATCAAACCCTCTCTAATTGAAATCCAATTGTCTGCAATCACAATCACAATTACACACACACACACACTCACTAACTACCGCATTGATACAGACCTGCACACTTGCACACGCGAACATCTAATCCGACTACTGGCGATGACCTTTATACAAAATAAATGTCTTGAAAAAAGTGAATTGTTTGTTGTAAACATTTGGAAATGAATCAAATCAAACAACTAAAATGCTCCATTTTTTAAACCAAGATAATCAAAAGATGATGGCTCAAGATCATGGTTTCAAAGGAAATCATCAGTCAGGTAAGCAAAAATAGCCCACTACACTTTCTCGCTGACTTAATAACACTCCACGAAATCAATTACTGCAATACGCCAATGCAAATTAGTAGAAATAAAAATTTCCCATCTCTCTCTCACTCGCCAACTGGCTCTACTGGCCGCCGACATAATCATCAGATGAGTCGACTCTCAAGTGACCACCACGTCTTTTTGTCTATCGTCGCCGGTGACGTAAATAGCTCTTCGCCACTACCTCCACTCAAATTGCTCATTATCTTCTCAAACAAGCTGCCTTTCGCTTGAACTTGAGAAGGCCATCGCAACAGTGCTGAAGTGCAAACTGTGACTGTCTCTAATTTCTCTGCAACATATGATACTTGATACTCTTGAAAATTGTACGACTGGGCGAATCCCAGTGGCAGCGGCGGCGGCGGCATAATAAATGACACCGGTGTTGATGTTGTGGTACAACAATAGTGTTCATCGTCGACTGTGTTGCATTGGCCTGCCAATTGCAAACCTGTTTTCTTCTACCATTATCTACAAGTGTCAACATCCGTAAAGGGGTAGGTATATAAAAGTGTACAGAATCGGGAAAATTGGCGTAAGCACAAATCAGTTTTTTAGCTTTTTGGTTAATATTTTCACTTTGATTCTACAAACACGACAATGCATCTAACAGTCTCCTCATCATCAGCAACAGCTCTACTTTTGTGCTTTCTAATCTGCGCATCAAAGGTTTTTGGCCAGGCCCTGCCACCTACTGAAGCAGAGAGCACAAAACCTAGAAAAGCCGATCAGACAACAACAGAGTCATCAATAGATGAGGGGGCACTATTTGACGACGATGCTGCAGATGACGAGGAGAAGAAGCTGTCCACTGATAAGCCGGCGGGCAGCCCTTCACTCGACAAAATAGCCGACAGCATTTTCGCCGANTATTTGACGACGATGCTGCAGATGACGAGGAGAAGAAGCTGTCCACTGATAAGCCGGCGGGCAGCCCTTCACTCGACAAAATAGCCGACAGCATTTTCGCCGAGCTGGGCAAGCAAAGTTTGGGCATCGATAAACTGAGCTCACTGAAACGGAGCAGTGCCTGTACGGTAGAGCACCGCCAACATCGCTTTCGCTGTACGGCAACGGCCGACTCTGCGTCCATCTCCGTGGACTCGCTAAATGGAGTCAAACTGGACCTGACAGTGAAGGTGCTGCTCAGAGGGAAGATACGAAGAGGTCGCGTAGTGAAGGTGCGCATGGAGGACGCCACTGTGGACGTGAAGAAGATGCCCGATGAGATTAGCATGTGGCGGCCAAGAGGGCTGAGGCGGATTCAGCGAGAGCTGAAACGGCGGTACATTAGACTGGCAATTGCTACCAGAAGGATCAGCAGAAGGATGCTGCCCAAAGAAGTCAAACTTTAGCACTACTGTGCATAAACAAATAAATGATAAAAAACTATACGTATTCTGATAATAATAAAGTGATGATTTTTAGTAAAATTACAGTTTGGAAGTAATAAGGAAATTTATGATGTGATGATTAGTCTGAAAAAGATTACAACTTTTGTTTAAATTGAGCCGTGTATAAATTTTGGATTTTGGAGTTTACCTAAAAACAAATCAGCAAAATGCTTTTTGTCATTTTAATGCTCGTGTCAGCTTCAGTAGTCCTGACGGCAACTAAACCGCCGCATGGAGAAGAAACAGAAGTTTCAGGTAACTTAGAGTTTGTAAATAGTAACCAATACTTAACTCTTTTTACTTGTTGATCGCCACCTTAGCTCAAAAAACTTGTCGCTTCTTTCTTTCAACTCGGAGGAAGCTGAAACTACTAGTGAATGTGCTCAACCCGTCAAGAAAATGGAAACCGCAAAAGTTTAGTCATTAGCCATTTGCATCTCACTTGTTAACAGTTTAATTTTCTCAATAAAAAATCAAAATAAAAATACTATTATTGTTGTTTGTAATCTCCCCAAACTCTTCGACTGCTCGTCACCCTCGACATCGTCATCATCTGTTGAGAACACACATTCCTTCCGTTGGCGTAGTGACCTGATGCACTTGAATGGGCACTTGACTGAGGACACACTTCAGCGACACTTCACTTGTTGTTGTTGTTGTTCACTTTCCGCCGCCGAGCACCAGAGAGACGCAGTAGCAGAAGCCAATGCCGACGGTGATGCCGCCAAGTACGACACAGGCGACGTAATCAGTCTGCGTATACTCGTACACAGCATGTAGGACGTAACAGGCGAAGAAACCCGCCAACCAGCCAATGGCCACGTACATCTTCTCGAGAAAGGGCACTGCCAAACCGAGCAAACTGTTGCCGATAAAAAGATTAGAAAGTTGTTAGAGACAGACGGCAAAAAAAGTGCTACCAAAATGCTACTATGAAAGCAAAAAGGGCAGTCATTCCGTCGCTGTGGTGGCCGCCCATCTGGAATTCATCTGCAAAAAAATGGCATTTAAAATTTTTTTTCATGAATGGTACATTCTTCATCTTACCACAGTACACAATCAGTGCGCCCCAAGAGACGCCACAAAGGGTCACCTTAGAGAACTCTTTGATGCCTCCAGCGTCTCCCATAGAAAAAAAATGTGATGCAACTTTAGAACTTAAAAACTGTGATCAATGTAAATGAGAAAACGTGTAACAAGATAAAATTCAATTTAATGTTACATTTAAAGTATTAAGTTTATTCAAAAAGTTATTGTTGAGTTGTACTTTGGAACTATTGAGAATCATTGATGTCATAAAAGTAAACAAGGAAACAATTTTTAATTTTAATGTAATTACAAATTGACATTTGTGTTGCAATTCTATCATATAACCAGACTAAAAGCTAAAGATGATGTTGTTCAAACACAAAAGGTTGCAGGTCAGTAACCGGGTTTGAGTAATAAGGAAATGAGCTGAACTGCAAAAAAATTTCTTGTTTTGTAATTCTCAGTAATTTTTTAGTTTCTAAAATCTGAGTAATAAACCTCATTCTTTTTTATTCCTTTTTTATTGCTTTTTATCTAAAATTAAACACAATGTACAGCTTTGTTGATTAAAGCTGACATAAGAAATGACAAGTATAAAAGGATTAGTATTTGCTATCAGTGATCATCACAGCTTTTCAATCAATTTTTTGAGAGCCTTAAAACAAAGCAAAACACAATTTATCAAAATGAACAAACTAATGTTTTTAGTTCTTTTTGCTATGGTTTACCTTTCTATGGCTGCAACTACGGTGAAACCGGGTAAAGAAAAACCGATCAAGAATTCAACTCTAGCTCCATCGACCAGCACAGTCAAACCAAACCGAGGTAAATTGTTTTTAATGCTTTTATAAAAGTTCAAAATTTTTATTTTTACACACTTTTAAATTTCAAACCAGTAGAAAGTTTGACTGAAACATTCAAGAAGATTGTCGAAAAATTAAAAAAGGTAGACACTGGCATCAAAGGATGGAGCAACCTGACTGCAGGCCGGTGTCAATGGATGACCTGGTTTTTTGGATTTAACAGTTATCACTACCGATGCGTTGCTTACATTCCCAAAGAAGGCAAGTCAAAAGGCTCGTCACTGACGCTTCAAATTGACATCAACCTCAAGAACGGGCGTGTTGAACTGTACAATGTGCAGAACGGTACTTTTGAAAATGGAAAACTGCCAGTTACCTACGACTTTTGGTCTGACCTGCGAGATAAAATTTTGGAACACACCAAGGTCAATTGCAAAATTCACTGGGGCAAAGAGCCAAATAAGTGCGATGTCTCAATCAACATCAACAATAATTAACTACTTAATGCTATTACAGCAACAAACTACACCAAACAGACAACTTTTATTGAGTTAAAATATATATAATACATTTTTTGTTCAACCTTTCGTGTTTGCTTTAATCATTTTTTCCTGTTCAAGAATTTCAATTTTTAATAAAACAAATTAAACTTTAACGTTAAACTTTTTCAGTAATCTTATGCCAACTAGTTGTTAACATTCTCGCAAGCGTCAATCCACTCAGCGTAGACGTCAATCGCTTCAGAGAGGTAGTTGATGGTCGTCTTAAAGTCCTCCAGGCAGACGTGACAGAAGATGTGGCCAATGTTTTCTGGACGACACAGATTTACCTCGCAGCTCTTTTCGTGGTTGCAGAAGGGACAGTTAAAGAGAACGTCCAGCGGTTGGGTAAGCTTTTTTCTCGCCATGGGCTTCTTTTTGCTCTTACGTCCGCCCATTGTAATGGGGCTGGTAAGGTAGTAGTTAAGTGGAGAGATGAGAAGATCTGGAGTTGAGGGCTCACGAGAGTGCTGAAACCCAAGAAAGTTGGATATTTTCAAGAAAAACACAAGAAAGTGTGTGAGAAAAAACGACACAATATCAACAGTTGTTTTGTTGTGCTTATCAGTATCGAGTCGCTGCTATCGATATAATCTTTGAAAATCGGATGTGATCAGTTTTAAGAAAGCAATGAGAAAGTTGACGGTATTTTATATTTGAATGTAGAGTCATCTCTAACACTTATGAAATGATAGAATTTTTACTTCATTAGCCCAATCACTTTGCTTTTTTAGTCTGACGTGTCAGTATTGTTACTGTGATGACTCTAGATTAAGGGGGGACTGCGCGAAACATAAAATATTTTCGAATTTTTTAGTT